AGGAAAGGAAAGGAAAGGAAAGGAAAGGAAGTACATAGTTGAGGAAGCAAAGGAAAGGAAAGGAAAGGAAAGGAAAGGAAAGGAAGTACATAGTTGAGGTAGGAAAGGAAAGGAAAGGAAAGGAAAGGAAAGGAAAGGAAAGGAAGGGAAGGGAAAGGAAAGGAAAGGAAAGGAAAGGAAAAGAAGTACATAGTTGAGGAAGGAAAGGAAAGGAAAGAGGGAAGGGAAGGGAAGGGAAGGGAAAGGAAAGGAAAGGAAAGGGAAGGGAAGGAGAAAGGAAGGGAAAGGAAAGGAAAGGAAAGGAAAGGAAAAGAAGTACATAGTTGAGGAAGGAAAGGAAAGGAAAGAGGGAAGGGAAGGGAAGGAAAGGGAAAGGAAAGGAAAGGAAAGGGAAGGAGAAAGGAAAGGTGAAAGGAAAGGAAAGGAAAGGAAAGGAAAGGAAAGGAAAGGAAAGGAAAGGAAAGGAAAAGAAGTACATAAATGAGGAAGGGAAGGAAAGGAAAGGAAAGAGGGAAGGGAAGGGAAGGAAAGAGGAAAGGAAAGGAAAGAGGGAAGAGAAGGGAAAGGAAAGGAAAGGAAGTACATAGATGAGGAAGGGAAGGAAAGGAAAGAGGGAAGGGAAGGAAAGAAAGTATATAGATGAGGAAGGAAAGGAAAGGAAAGGAAAGGAAAGGAAAGAGGGAAGAGAAGGGAAAGGAAAGGAAGTACATAAATGAGGAAGGAAAGGAAAGAGGGAAGGAAAGGAAAGGAAAGGAAAGAGGGAAGGGAAGGGAAAAGAAAGGAAAGGAAGTACATAGACGAGGAAGGAAAGGCAAGGAAATACATTGATGGGGAAAAGGGAATGAAAGGAAAGGAGAAAAGAAAAGAAAAGGAAGGAAGGAAAATGAAGGCGGGAAGAAAAATCCATTCACCTCCGTCTCCTGCCAGGATCCGATGGAAATTCAGCGGGAACCTCGGAGGATCAAATCGAGATTTCATCCAGAAAAGCTCAGCGCCCAGCCAGCCGTCCGCCGCTTTCCCCGAAGGGGAAAATTCTCCAGGGCTGCTCTCTTTTCCATCCGCTGCTCGCAAATCCTTCTCGGACTGCTGAGTTGTTTCTCTCTCTCTCCCTCTCTCTCTCCTGTCCTACAATCACCCTTCCGCGATAGTTATAAAGTTCAGCCTTGGCTTTTTGGAGGAGGAGGAGGAGCGGGGGGGGGGGGCTGTTTTGCAACGAAACGACCCGCCAAGGGGCTTCAAAGGACAAGTCGCCCCCCGCCCCCCACTTTCCACCCCCCCCCTCCCCTTTGTTTGCAACTGATCGCTTTGCTACAGTTTCGGGCTCAATTTTAAAAAAAATAAAAATATCGCAAAGGCGAAGAAGTCGGCTCCCTTCTCGACGTTGGAGAAGCTGGCTCGGAGCGGCTTCGGTTCTTGCAAGGCAGGAATGAAGCGATGCGAAGCCCCCTCTTTCGCCCCCACCCCCCAAATAAAAATAAAATAAAATAAATCAAGCTCAAAAGCCAGCCACCTACCCGACCTTGGCTTGCTTTCTCGAAAAGGGGATCAGCAAAAACTGAAAGGGGAAAACTTTCGCTTGCCTGGAGGGGAGGGGAGGGGAGGAGGCGTCCCCCTCTTCTCCCTCCTCCTCCCCTCTTATTTGGCCCCCTCCCTTTCAAAACTGGAGGTGGGGGGGGGGAGAAACCGGGCTTCCTTTTTTTTTGAGGAAGGGGTCCCTGCGGCTTTGCTTGCCCCTTCCTCTCGGTTCAATCGTTGCAATCTCAGCACGGATCTTTTTGCAAAAGAGGCGCCGTTTGCAAACCGCCGCCCCCCCTCCCCTTTGGGGTGAGAGAGAAAAAAGAGAAAGAGGGAGA